CTACAAATGCAATTCAGCTTCAGATAGACAATGTAAACATTAGCAATAAAAATGATGGAAAGTTTCTTGGCCTATTCCTAGACAAGAGACTCAACTTCAGCACCCACATACAACATATAACTAAAAGTCTAAAACAGTTGGTATACTCTCCAAAATCAGATATTATGTACCTAACTCTGCTCTCATATCTCTCTTATGCACTAATCTATCCCTATCTTAATTATGGTATATGTGCATGGGGTTCAACCACTGCAAACCACCTCAAGTCCATCACCCAGCAAAAATCTGCTATAAGAATAATAATAAAATTCTACTTTCAGACAACACTCGGCCACCTTGTTTAACTCCCTAAACATGCTAAACATAATCTCTCCACAAATTCTCTTGTCAACTACATTTACAAAACCCTGTTCTTAAATGCAAATCCTGCTCTGAAACTCTCCCTGGACAGATGTAATAGGACCCATTATCACCACACCAGAAATAAATATCTCTTTGATATCCCCAGAGTCAAACTTATTCTGTGTAAGCACTCTATGCAAATAAAGGGACCCAGTCTATGGAACTCACTCCCTATTGAATGAAAAGCTGTCCAACTTTTGCATCATTCAAAAACAAAACTAAAAAGTACCTAATTTCATCTTCATAGTTTTTTACCTTGTTGCTTTAAAATTGCACTGTATGTATTGCTACCCAATCTCCCGATCTTTATGTACCCAATCCGAACATCTTTACCATTGTGATCATTGCTGTCTTCTTGTATGTGCTATCAGTCTGCTGTATGGTGCCTATTAATCGTGTTTAAATTACCAATCAAGCTGTCAATGTAATCAATCAGAGCTTTAATATACGAATGTGCTTTAACCCTTAACCCTTTAACTGCGCCGCCTATAAATATGACATCCCCCCAGTGCGCAGGAAATGAAACCTTGGGTAAAAATTATTTTTTCCTCGGAAAGTGTCAAAAACTGTATATATAGGGGGAGGGATATATTGCTATACCCCTCCCTGTATATGGGTATAGCAATGCAAGTTCGAAATTGTACTTACTTTGGCTGCTATGGGGTCCGAAAGGTGGGCCGTGACGTCATAATTCCCCGTGCGCCAGAGCAGTATGCACCCGGGGCCGGCGGGGCGCGCGAGTTGCCGCGAATATATTTTTGCACATTTTTTGCGCACAGTTCCAAATACATTTTATTTGTTTTTACTTGCTAATCCTATGTATAATGAACACGTATACTATATTATGGCAGTAAAACATCCGTACTGTCCAAAGACACTGTGTTACGTGCATGACACTTGTGTACACATATGTTGCACATATTTACCATGTATCATTCTAATTTATATATATATACAATCTATTTACAGACTATACACTATCACACACTATATACATTCACCATCAATACATTCAGAACGCCGCGAGTGTGAGCAGCCACACCCAGCCAGCCCTCTCTCACTCCAACATCTTACTCGCCAACATTGCTCCTCCCACCATACTGTTATTGTATTTATTACACAATTTACACATGTTATATATACCTATCTACATGTTTTATTTACCAGAACTATGCAAGTAAGCTGGTATTGTGTCCAAACAGTATAGTGGCCACCATACACTGCATGACAAATCACACAGCAGACGGCAGACGACGCCACGATTACGACGTCACCTCCCTCACCAAAATAGCTCCTCACAACATACTCCTGTTGCTGTTATTACACTATTCCACACACACTGTATATACCCATGTACATGTGTGTTCCCCATAGCGAACCACGAAGCTAGTAAGGTGAGCAAAACAAGAGTGGCTGCCACACAGTGAGGCTACCTCAATTCTCTTCCTTCCTCCTTCCCTCACCAAAATTTCTCCTTCCTACGCACAACGCTCATTATAACCACAATCCTGGTTACTAATACCTGTAAATGAATAATTGACCACAAGTTTATTTTGAAAAGGAACCTAAAAAGTCGTTTGAAGATTCCTAGATGGACAAAATAATGCTGTGGTGCTGTGGCTAACGCTGTGAACATCGTGAACAGCATTGAATCGCTGATATTTGAACATTGTACCCAGTCATTATCACACTCGGGCTCTTCTATAATACTATCATGGCTAAATAAAACAGATTATATATATATTTTGACAATATTAGGCAATGCTGTGGTCACATGCTGAACAGCAGTGCTGTGCGCTCATGCTGCGAGCACCAGCCTTGGTTGCTCACTCACTACTGAGGCTCTGACACCCGGCAATGTGGACCATGATTTTTTTTTAAGATGGCGCCTGTTTACAAGACCCCTGAGGAAGCTGATGTGAACCCCATGTAGCTGCGGGAGTTTTGAATGGAACGTGAAAAATATAAACACCCGGGGGTGCGTTGCGCGCCCTAAGCCTGGGCCTGCAGGCACGTTGCGCAGTTAAAGGGTTAAATGGCGCATCGCATCATATGAGGCTTTGGAGTACCGCACACGATTTGAAAGACCTGCGGGGTATAGGGGGTCCCCATACGCTGCCCAGGGGCTATAGTAAACAGCCGCCATTGAAAAAATCCAGCTCGCGCTACTATCGCGTGGGAGGCCTTAGTTACCCAGCAGCCACCATGTTGAGCGCACGGTCGAACGCTTCCCGGGCACGCCCCACGCAATCACTCGCCCAAGAGCAAATAACCAGTGAATTATTTTCCGATGGTGATTTTGATGACTGATATTGATAAAGACTACACACAATTGACCAATGGTAGTACGGACAGTGAAAATGAGATACAGCCACCTCCCATGGCGAGGCCTATACGCTCACCCATGCCACCTCGCCCAGCGTCTACACCAATTCACCCTCGACCACACAGTTCCTGTGCTTATTTAGAGTTTGAGGATATTTTCGGTGACGAGTCAGAGGAAGCTGACTCTTTTTCTGGTTTTAGTGAAGTGGAATCAGAACATAGTGTTACAGAGCCTGGTGCTAGTACCAGTGGTGTTACTGGGCGAGATTTTGTCGCATCAGCAGCGTCTCGCCCAGCCAAGCGCCACCACATGGAACAACATGAGGCACCAAGAGCCTCATGTTCATGTGCTTCTACCTCACGTGCACGTAGCGGCCATACTGTGCGTAGACGAGCTTCAGCTCCTGGTCCACAGGGTGCATCGCTTCCTCGCTGTAGTGACCCTGTTGCGTCCCCTGCGTCTCGCAGGACACCAGGTGTACTAGTGTGGAGTGGTGCTGGTTTTATTCCCCGAATTCCTGCCTTTGACAATAAAGACTTTGGGGTTACAGAGATTTTTCCTGGTAATAGAGACGATATGAGTGAATGTGATTATTTTACAGCATTCTATGATGAGCCGCTCATGGAATATATTGTACACCAAACGAACCTTCATGTGGCTCATCTCATTAGAAGAGAAATAACAGAATTTTCACGATTACAATGTTGGAAAACCACCAATGTAGGTGAAATGTATGTGTTTCTAGCAATATGTATGTTGATGAAACACTGTCAAACATGCTATCACAGATTACTGGAGCAAAGATCTATTCCAACACCTTTCTTCGGGAAATATGTCCTGAGACAGATTTCAGATACTTCTTAGGTGTCTGCATTTTGCAAGTAATGAGGACCGGACAGAGGGTGATAGACTTTGGCGAGTGAGGCACTATATGAATGAAGTGATTGGAAAATTCAGAGATTTTTACGTACTAGCACAGAAGCTGGTGATTGACGAATCCCTTGTACTTTTCAAAGGACGTGTTTCATTCAAACAGTATATTCCCTCCAAACGAAACAGATTTGGATTGAAATTCTTTGTACTGTGTAACTGTGAAACAGGATACGTGTTACACATGATTCTGTATTCAGCTAGCGATGTAGACATTCATGCTAACGACGAACATAGTTTCTCTGGTAGTGTGGTGAAGTCACTGATGGCACCATGGATGAACAAGGGCCACATCCTATACACACATAATTACTATACAAGTACATTGCTAGCTAGGTTCTTGATTGAAAATAGAACCGGGTTGACTGGCACAGTAAAGGCACGAAGAAGGGAAATGCCAGTGTTTGACAGTGGACTTGCAGTTGGTGAGTGCCAGGTACGGAAATGTGATCAAATATTCTCGGTACGGTGGAACGACAAGAGAGAAGTGAACCTGCTGACAACCGTTCATGAGGGTACAATGTTGAACAGTAGCAAGGTGCACCGTGTAACAAGAGAACCAGTATATAAGCCAGATTGTGTTCTTGACTACAATATCAACATGCGTTTGATTGATAAGGCTGACATGATGATTGGCACTATCGAGTGTGTGCGGAAAACATTGAAGTGGACGAAAAAAGTGTTTTTCCATCTTGTTGACATGAGCATGTTGAACTGCTACAATTTGTATCTGGTGAAAACTGGACGTAAACCTATTTTCCGTTCATTTGCTTTTACACTTGCAACGCAGTTATTAGCAAAGTTTGGTCAAGAAGTCCCTGGCATACGAAGACCAATCATGAACCCAGCTGCAACACCCAGGCTCACTCACATAGATGCCTTTCAGCAACACAGACTAAAGAATTTGCCAGCAGGTGGAAAGCGTGCAATAGGCCAACGTGCATGCCTAGTATGTAAAACAACAAAACGGAGAGAACAGAAACGTAAAATGGTGCAAACATGGTGTGAAGGGTGTGCAGTTGCATTGTGTGCTGTCGACTGCTTCAAAGACTACCACTCGCTCCAAGATTTCTAAATGTGCAATAATAGTGCAAAAACATGTACATAGTGCATGCTAGTGTGTACATATAAAATAATGAACATTGTGAATACATAATATAATGGCGTAATGGAAAACGTTTGTGTGCGCATGTGTATACTCGATGTATGCAACTTAAATTGACTAACTGTGAAGTAACATTATGTGCAACACAATTAGTGACTAATATTGCAAAGAATACGTGCCTAGACACTGTAAATAATGCCACGAATTTATTTTCGCGTCAACACTGGCTGCTTGAAGACTGCGTGCGACGCCTCCGGGACGCACCGTGCATGAGCGAGCATGCAAACTGTGACGTCGTCACCCATCTTGTCGGCTCAATTATGTCGCCGGTAGGTACAATTGATTTTTTTTTATTTTTCCTGTGATCAGGGAACACGACTTAACAGGTTAGAAAGTTTTTTTTTTTTTTTTTTTTTTATGCGCCTGTGGGTGTCAAATGGTATATAGCCATGCACCATTTAAGGGTTAATATACTTACTACTCTCTCTCATCTCATTTTTTTCTTGCAATGTATCTGTTATCATTTTATTAATTCTGCTAGAATATACCTACTTAAAATAATCTGTTAGATTAAGGACCTGCCCGAAACGCTGCGCGTACTAGTGGCTTTACAAGATTGTAAATACTATGCTATGTATTCTCACAAACCCAATGTACCTTCTTGTATATAAATGAATGAATGAATAAATAAATAAATAAATAAATGAATGAATGAATAAATTACCTCCTTTATTACAACATACTTTCCATTACTGTTGCCTTGCTTTTTTCTTAGATTTCCTTCTCACCTCTCTCTTGCCTATTTATTGCCATTGCTTCCTTCCTCTCATCACAATCGACTTCATAATGGTCCAGGACGGACCGAAACTTTGTCGTCTCTTCAATTTGTAGTGTGTGGTTTGGTCAACATTTTTCAGCCACGATATTGTGACATCTGCATAAAAAAGTTTGTGTACTCGCCTGTTTGTGCTTGTGGGGTGTGGTGCTACATAGCCTTCCTGGTTTGGTGCCTTTTGATAATTACTTACTTGTGCTTGCGGGGATTGAGCATTGGCTCTTTGGTTCCGCCTCTCGACCGCAATCTACTGGTGTACAAATTCCTAAGCCTACAGGGCTCTATCATATCTACACTTGAAACTGTGTATGTAGTCTGCATCCGCCACATCACTTCCTAGTGCATTCCACCTTTTAACTTCACTTCACTTCACCTTTTAACTTAAGCACCTTCATCACCTTCAGTGATTAAGTGCTTAATTGCACACTAGTTTCTTTATCATCTACCTCGCCCTGTCAGAGTAAATGAAACAAATGTATGTGAATGCATGTGTGTGTGTGTATATATGTATGTATATGTGTGTGTGTGTGTATGTATATGTATGGGTATAAAGTATATATGGAAGCTGGTCAGAATTACATTTCACTTTTGTGAATGTACATTAATGACACTATGTGAAAGACACATCTAACACTTTATGTAGGGCATACGTAAATCTGTGTATCTATGTACAGTATTTATGTATGTAGGTTAGCTTAGCATTTTAAAAGCACCGAATCACCTTCTGTGGTTGAGTGTTCAATAAACCCTTGAACTATATGTTTAACACTTCTCTAACCCTGTCCATGGAGGACAGAAGAAAATGTATATATGCTGGTTAGCATTGTAAATGTGTGGCCACGTCTGTGGTAGAAAATAATAATAATAATAATAAAAAAAAAAAAAAAAATTAACTACTGACACTGAAAGTTCTTTCTAATGTCTCTGTGGCTCATTTGGGTACTCGGTTTCCACCTGTGTCCCCTTGTTTGTGTACCATTCATGTTAAATAAGCCATCCTTGTCTAACTTGTCAATTCCTCTGAGAATTTTGTAGGTAGTGATCATGTCTTCCTGAGCTCTTCAATCTTCCAGTGACGTGAGGTGCAGTTCACTCAGCCTTTCCTCGTAACTCATGCCTCTTAGTACTGGAACTAACCTAGTGGCATATCTTTAAACTTTTTCCAGCTTCGTCTTGTGCTTGACAAAGTACGGGCTCCACGCTGGGGCCGCATACTCCAGGATTGGCCTTACATATGTAGTATACAAGGTTCTGAAAGTCTCCTTACACAGGTTTCTGAAGGCGGTTCTGATGTTAGCCAGCCTCGCGTATGCCACCGATGTTATTCTCTCGATGTGGGCTTCAGGAGACAAGTTTGGCGTGACATCAACTCCTAGATCTTTCTCTATCCGTTTCATGAAGGACTTCATGCCCCATTCTGTATCCTGTGTCTGGCCTCTTATTTCCTCCTCCTAGTTTTATTACCTTACACTTACTTGGTTTGAACTTTAATAGCCATTTGTTGGACAATTCCTTCAGTTTTAGTTTTTTTTGTGATTGGAAGGAAACACATGCATAGTGGGGGACTTCTTTATTTGTTTATAATAATAATTATTTTATAAGGAGCCGGTTGGCCGAACGGACAGCACACTGGACTTGTGATCCTGTGGTCCCGGGTTCGATCCCGGGCGCCGGCGAGAAACAATGGGCAGAGTTTTTCACCCTATGCCCCTGTTACCTAGCAGTAAAATAGGTACCTGGATGTTAGTCAGCAGTCACGGGCTGCTTCCTGGGGGTGGAGGCCTGGTCGAGGACCGGGCCGCGGGGACACTAAAGCCCCGAAATCATCTCAAGATAACCTCAAGATAATAACAATTATAAAACATAATTAATAATGCATTTATAATTAATATTAGTTATTAACTTTTATAAATTCTTGATAACATAATACCTTTATAACCATAATGAATAATTACGATAATAATTCATACAGTAATTATAACAGCCATTACATTAACATTGCAATAATAGACATAATATAATTTAATAGATACTGTATATAAGGTTTAAGTTCTTTAACCCTTTAACTGTGCAACATGCCTGCAGGCCCATGTCTGGGGTGCGCTATGCACCTCCAGGCCGGGCTGTGGTGGGTATGTGGGCCTGCGGGCTGCTCCAAGCAACAGCCTAGTGGACCAAACTCTCACAAGTCAAGTCTGGCCCCGGGCCGGGCTTGGGGAGTAGAACTACTCCCAGAACCCCATCAACCAGGTATCAACCAGGTATCCAGGTATTTGTATTCAAAACTACCATGGCTACATGAGGTTCACATCAGCTTCCTCAGGGTTCTTGTAAACAGACGCTATCTTTAAAAAAATCATGGTCCACATTCCTGGGTGAGTGTGCCTCAGTAGTACTCACCTAGTTGTGTTTGCGGGGGTTGAACTCTGGCTCTTTGGTCCCGCCTCTCAACTGTCAATCAACTGGTGTACAGATTCCTGATCCTATTGGGCTCTATCATATCTACATTTAAAACTGTGTATGGAGTCAGCCTCCACCACACTACTACTTAATGCATTCCATTTGTTAACTACCCTGACACTGAAAAAATTCTTTCTAACATCTCTGTGGCTCATCTGGGTACTAAATTTCCACCTGTGTCCCCTTGTTCGTGTTCCACCCCGCGCTAAAGAGTTTGTCTTTGTCCACCCTGTCAATTCCCCTAAGAATTTTGTAGGTGGTTATAATGTCTTTCCTTACTCTTCTGTTGTAAGTAGTGAGTGAGCAACCAAGGCTGGTGCTTGCAGCATGAGCATACAGCACTGCTGTTTAGCGTGTGACCACAGCATCGCCTAATAATGTCAAAATATATATATAACCTGTATTATTTAGCCATGATAGTATTATAGAAGAGCCTGTGTGATAATGACTGGGTACAATGTTCAAATATCAGTGATTCAATGCTGTTCACGATGTTCACAGCGCTAGCCACAGCACCACAGCATTATTTCGTCCATCTAGGAATCTTCAAACAACTTTTTAGGTTCCTTTTCAAAATAAACTTGTGGTCAATTATTTACTTACAGAAATTAGTGACCAGGATTGTGGTTATAATTAGAGTTGTGCATAGTATTGTGAAAGGAGGAATTTTAGTGAGGAAGGGAGAGAATTGAGGTAGCCTCACTTTGTGTGTTGCAGCCACTCTTGGTTTGCTCACCATACTAGCTTCGTGGTTCGCTATGGTGAACACACATGTACATGGGTATATATAGTGTGTGTGTATAGTGTAATAACAGCAACAGGAGTATGTTGAGTGGAGCTATTTTGGTGAAGGAGGTGACGTCGTAATCTTAGCGTCGTCTGCTGTGTGATTTCTCATGCAGTGCATGGTGGCCACTGTACTGTTTGGACACAATACCAGCTGACTTGCATAGTTCTGGTAAATAAAACATGTAGATAGTAATAACATAATATATAACATGTGTAAATAGTGTAATAAAAACAATAACAGTATAGTGGGAGGAGCAATGTTGGCAAGTAAGATGTTGGAGGAGTGAGGGAGGGCCTGTCTGGGTGTGGCTGCTCACACTCACGATGTTCTGAATGTGTTGATGGTAAATGTATATAGTGTGTGACAGTGTATAGTGTGTACATATGTTGTAAATATACATAAATGAACATGAAACATTGGTGGGAATAACTGTATGATGGGAGGAGCAATGTTGGCGAATAAAATGTTGGAGGAGTGAGGGAGGGCTGGCTGGGTGTGACAGCTCACACTCGTGATGTTCTGAATGTGTTGATGGTGAATGTATATTGTGTGTGAGACAGTGTGTAGTCTGTAAATATTGTATATATACATAAATTAGCATGATACATGGTAAAAATGTGCAACATATGTGTACACAAGTGTCATACACGTAACAGTGTCCTTGGACAGTACGGATGTTTTACTGCCATAGTATAGTATACGTGTTCATTATACATAGGATTAGCAAGTAAAAACAAATAAAATGTATTTGGAACTGTGCGCATAAAATGAACAAAATTATATTCGCGGCAACTCCCAGGGCGCCCTACTGGCCCCAGGAGCGTACGTCATGAGCAAACGGGGAATGATGTCACGCGCCAACTTACGGATCCCATAGCAGCCAAAGTAAGTACAATTTCAAATTTTCTGGGGGGGAGCCCCGTCGGCTCCCCGGAGCTATCCCAGGCTGATATGCTAATGTCAGACTTTGGCATCAGTCATGTGTATGGAGTTCTTAGGCCTATTGGGTACCACGGCCAGAACCGGGTCCCCTCAGAGAGGCAAGGGGAGCAATGGCCTATAGAAGCCTCCGTGTGGTTGGAAGCATTCTATGTCTGCCATCGACTGGAACAGGCACCCAGAAAGGTAAGTGCCCCAAAACAAACCCCTATTCTGGTTAAAATTGCTACCAAAAGCCGAACTAGTGGATAGACCTCCCCAACAGAAAACGAGTAAACTAGTGTGACGTCACACACCGCCGCGCC